CTACAATAGTTTGACTAGTTAAATCTAAATGTTCTGGTAATAAGTCTTATACAGCGTTGTGGAATCTAATTGAGGTATATTTAAACCAGTATCAACGATTTGATCACGTCCCATAAACGACAGAATACGATGATATGCACGTGCTACATGATTTTGATCGAAATTTAACAAAATATTCTCGGATGAGTCTTGATGTCCATTTATCCTTAATGAAACCTCAGAAACACCGATCTTATCAAATATCACAATACTTTGTCTTTGATTATTTACTCGTGCAATATTTTAAAGCGCAATACATATATGTGGCGGTGCAGAAGCACGTTTCTGAGAGGCTATCTGCCATGTAAATAAACCATTAATTGCACTTTGAATAACATCTGTGGTCATCGTTAACCATGAAAACATTGATTTACCACCTTTGACTCATACAAAATAGTAACCGATCTTCATCAGATATTGATGGAGACATTACTGACATCCAGAGAGAAAGTTTGATTAGTATAACTTTACCATGAAGTGCCCTAGTTTCAACATCATCAACTCATTCAGCGTGCCATACTGCATCATCATCGGTACTTTCGCGCACTAGTACAACTGTATGTTTGGCTCCAAAAATGACTTTCTGACATTTCTGCAGAATCAAAATATATGTGATAGTGGAATTGCACATGAAAGTGTTCTTCTATTACCTTTTAACTTTGATTTACGCACTTCAAATCCTATGTTAAAACATGCATTCATCGATAATATTGCAGGGGTATCAGCAGTTCCTGCTGCAGCTCTCACATTACCAATAGTCATGTTTATACTTTCTGGAAAATCAGTTGTATCTTTTGCAAATATCATGGATGGACCAGCTGATCTCGAATAATCATCGCTGTATCTTGAAAGGAAAATTATTGTTGTAGCAACGTCAACGTCTTTTTAAATTGGTTCACTATTTTTTCCGTCATTAATGTACGCAGCGCTATCAAATAACGTCATAATACCATTATTAACAAAACCAAAATTATCATAAGCGGCGTATTCAGTATTATCTGCTTTTAATATTTCACCTTCGACTTCAATAAATGCTTTAGCGGGTAAGAAATATTTAATTGTATCCTGAACCTCTAATTCAATTCGTCCACGCTGATGTGGAATTCGGGCGTCCTAAGAATAATACTGATAATCGCGCACAGACTCGTCTTTAAGAACTGGTGCGTCCATGTCAAATGCAGGATCACTTATATGTTTAAACATACTTATTATAATTATCAACGAAAACAACTTCCCGCTATGAGACTCGCGGTTATATTTTTCTCTTTTTCTGATAAGGGTATATGAGCCAACTCTGCTAGTTTTTGATTAGCGACTTGATTTATTTTTTACTAATATTTTCAGGAATTAATTCAGTGCTAGGTAATTTTACCGGCTGACGTCGGACTGCTTGAGGTCTGCATATTAATCGTGCTAGTCTATCTTTGATGGCCGAGAATGCTTTACTAGCAACATTACCAGCAACACCTATACATTTTTCACGAAAAACATCATACCTTTCATACCCAGCTGCTTTGTAATTGGGATTGCTTTTGGGGCTATTCTTCTAACTAGACCCTGCACAATAACACCTAACTCATCTCCGTAGGTTGCCCTGTAAATCGGTTTTCGAGAGTTAATTGCCCTGAGCGTAGTTGGTCCACGTTGAGTACTATGTACTATCATTTTATTAAATAGTCATTATATTTAATTACATACTTGGTCTGGCGACTTAGTCTCTATAATACTCATCAGCGATTTAATTAATGAGAGACTGATGCACATAAATAATCTTTTACAAATATCTGCTGCTTCGTTAATAATTTCTGGGGAATTATTACCAGCTCGTTTTCCTCCAATCAGAATTTCTAGTCGTTCAAAATCAACAAGAACATTATTCGGGCAAGTCAAATACCACTTACTAGACCATTTCCAGTTGCACCAGGAGTGTCTTGAAATACTTCTTCCTCTTCCGTTGGTTTCGGAGAATCTTTTGTGGTAGTTTTTCCTGTTGTCGTTTTATATTTTGTTGTCGTTTTTGTTCTAGTTCTAGTTCTTGTTGTTGTTATAGATATTGATGTGATTTTTTTCGTCGTCGTTTTTGTAGTCGTGTTACTGGTTTTACTGGTGATGGTGGCTCATATTATTGTTGTAGTACTTGTGGTGATCGTTGTGGTGTTGATGATGATTGTGATTGCAATAGTTTCATTGTTTCTTGTTCTTGTTGTTTATTCTTTTCTACATATTTATTTACATCCTTATAAAACATGTTAAAATCTGTGATTTCTTTATTAGATCTGATATCTGAAATATTAGTAGCGATGCGATATACATCCCTGATCCAAATGGAAGAGCTGACAGATTTAACATATTCTGGCTTTACATATTTTTTTCTTTCATGATATCCATACGCGGCAATATCAAATAATTGTTTTGGTCCTTGATAGCAACAATACCTTCAGTTGTAAATTTATCTATTATCTTAGTTCTTGTTCTTAGTGGTTGAGGAGGTTGGATGGGTGGTGGTAGTGGTAATGGTTGAGCTGATTGTG